GTATATATGCCATTCTGTCTGAATGTTATGCCTTCAGCCTATTCTACGCAGACGTAGTCGCGGGCAGCAGCTGGTATTAATATAATTTGCATTTTAACAATATATTTCTTTCAATAGTTAGGAATGAGGTTTTGACTTCGATACACTCACATTTAAGAATAATATTACATCTACTTTGTAGAGCAACGCCCCTCAGTGTTTATGATTATTTTTTCCCATTGAACAATGCGACAAAGTTAGAGGTGTTCGATTTTCTATTAACAACGATAAAAACAAAACAACGATCTTGATGTCAGTTTGTATTGTTGGCATCTGTTAGCGAAATGCTAAAGTCGGACACCTCCGACATTCGAATTGGTAACTTAACTGTGATAGGGCCACGCAATGATGTTCACTGTTGCACGAATGGGCAGGTCCGTGTCCAGGTAAGTACCACGACGTCACAGAAGACCAGCGTAAAGTAGAAGTGTTACACTTCTGCGTTTCGTATGGTGAGTGAGGTAGCCGGGGCCCACTTTATTTAAAGGTGGTAACGCTTTTGCAACCCTACGGGTGTTGTAAATGTCCATGGGCTGCGTTTATCACTTCAGGCGCTGTATGCAGTGAATTTTTAACTTTTTCAGTGGTGAAGTAGGAGTAATGTGAAGAACGGGGAGTGGAGGAGGGGTAACCCCGCTTAGTGGGGCGCAGCGCGCGAGTTTCGTCGACGCGCTGCGTGACAAAGCCATTCATTACCTATTAGTGGTGTGCCGTAGAATACTTTCGAAAATATACACTAATGATCCCTATAATATCTTTTATAGACCATGATCGTATTTCATAGGAATAATAAAAAAACAAACAAGTATAAAGTATGAGAAAGCAATCAACAAGTTTAGAAAATCTTCCTATTAATTATTTTAAAATATCAGAAAACGGATTTAAAAAGATTAAAAATAAATCTTATGGTCAAAGTAATTTTTACTTATAGATGTAAATTGTCATTATTCGTTATTGTGTTATTGTACTTGAATTAATGTACTCTGTTTGTGTTAATCTTAGTCTAGTTTGTTATTTATAATTTAAATTTTTGGTATGTACTGAAAATCGGGAAATCTTACCGAGTACATACCTATTTGGTTTTAATGTCTTATGTCGTGTATGTTGTTGAAACTAAATAAATATTCTTCATTCAAATAAATTCATCATCATCATCATTATCATTTCAGCCTGTTTGAGTCCACTGCTGAACATAGGCCTCCCCCACAGACTGCCATGAAGTACGATCCTGAGCCACCTGCATCCATCGACTTCACGCACATTTGCACAAATCAAATAAATTAATAAAGGCCAATTACATTTACGGTGGTAGGGCCTCGCAGCAGCCTCGGTTGATGCACGAATGGGCAGGCTCGTCCGGGTAAGTACCACGACCTCACAGAAAACCGGCGTAAAGTGGAAGTATAATACTTTCGCGTTTCGTCTGGTGAGTGAGGTGGCCAGAGCCCAATTTTCAAAAGGCTGTTAATGCATCTGGAACCCTCGGGTGTAGCAGATGTCCATGGGCGGCGGTATTCACTTAACATCAGGTGAACCGTCTGCTCGCTTGACAACTTTTCACATTAAAAAAAAACATTTCTTACAACAAAACAATAAATAAACGAATAATTATTTATTTTGATTTAAAGTAATAGCTCATAAAAATTTTAAGCAAATGGTCTCCACGGCAGAAATTACGAATACGACTTTTTTATTACATGTTTTCTTAAAATATCTTTAATTTATCCTTTAAATGTTAAAGACTTACTACGTTATATAAATTCCTCAATTAGGTGAACAATTACGGTGGCCCCAAGTTCAAACCTTATTGAGTGGTACAGCTTTTTCCAATTTTAATTTGTTAATCAATTCATTATTATTATTATTGTTGTTTTTATTTCATAAAATGTGGAAAATAAACAAATTAATGAAAAAATTATAAAACAATAATTTATTTATTCTTTCTTGCAATTACCTTCAGCCAGGATTACCTACTACTAAAGGCCGAACTTTTTGCCTTTTGGCATTCTCTCCCAGTCACCCGGGGCGTGGTGAGAAATTGTGGTAGATGCAATAATTATATTAATTATTTAGTACCTGGAGGACCGAGCTTTGCTCGGTTTTCTTTCTAAATCATGTATTTTGGAAATAAAAAGTAAAGAAGGCAATGATGTTGTATAGAAAAAAAATTAAAAAAATAAGTGTGTAAATGAACCGCGGCCGTCCGTTTTAGGGCCGCTCGTTTACCGACCGAGCTATTATAACTATTTTTTTTGCGGCGAAATTTACCATCATATTCGAATGATATTTTTCATTCCCTGAAAACAGGGATAAACTAAAAATGAAACCTAGCTAGAAAGATTTGTCAACCCCCAATCTACGCACATACTAAATTTCATGAAAATCGCTGGAGCCGTTTGCGAGATTCCGTTTATAGATATATATATATATATACAAGAAAAACACATACATAGATATACATATATGTATATATATTATAAGTAAACGGTAGTGGCAATGATAACATCAACATTCTAGTTTATACTGAGTCATTCAAGTAAAAGTCACTTACTAAACGTTTGAATGGTGTCCTGTTAGAGACCCTACGTATGTCATTAGGTAAGGAGTTACAAAGCAGTGGAGCCTGAACAGTGAACTATTTTTCGTGTTCGAAAAGATTAATTTTCGTTTTAGGGTGAAATGTTAAAAATTTTTAAAAAAATATTAAAAACAATATACGGTATAAGACTTGTTAAAAATTTTAAATAATGAAAACTTGGTTTACTACCTGATAGTTTCTACGTTCAACAAATACAATGATATTTCGTTGTAATTTTTTATAAAAATAAAAAATCAACAAAAATTAAACGGTAAATAAAAAAAATTACAAAAAAGGAAATCACCAAAAAATATAACAAAGAAATGTATGGATTTGAATGAAATGTATTTTATTCAACAAATTAAGACAACAATCCTTGTTATTAAAATATTCTACACCATTTATATTAATTTCGTTAAGATTTGTTGATGTATTACGTTCATTTTGGGATTGGAATTTCTCTTATAAAGGTAGTTTCATGATTTTTTACTATCGAGAAAATATATCGAGAATATTTTTTGAAAATAATGTTCCATTAGAATGTATTACATTGTTTTCAAAACATATTCTCGATATATTTTCTCGATAGCAAAAAATCATGAAACTAGAGGTAAAAGAGAAATTATGCATTGTTTGCCGTACCCCTCTAACTAGTGTAATATTTGTGCGCTTCGCCGCTCGCTACGGCTCAAGGCTAATGCTAAATAAATGAATTAAAAGATATCGTAATCGTTGATACCATCCTTAGTATATAAATGAAACGGATCTTATTTGAATGCTGTTAAGATTCAAAATTTACTTAACTTATTCATAAAATCTGTTTAAAAATCTGATATTGTTGCCGTACTGCTCTAATTAATGTAATATTTGTATCTCACGCGCTTTGTCGCTCGAAATCTGTTTAAAAATCTGATATTGTTGCCGTACTGCTCTAACTAGTGAATATTTGTATCACACGCGCTTTGTCTAAAAATCTGATATTGTGGCAATAATTTAAATGAAACGGATCTTATTTGCATGCTGTTAAGATTCAAAATTACTTAACTTATTTATAAAATCTGTTTAAAAATCTGATATTGTTGCCGTACTGCTTTAACTAGTGAATATTTGTATCTCATTTCGTAAATATCAGATATTGTAAAATACATTTTGAACGAGCCAGTAAGCGATTTTCAGATATTGTACCAATATATAGTTTTCGTATCTGTCTATGATTTGTATCGCCCACTTCTAAATTGTAAGATCAAGATTAACATATATTTTTTTGGTGATATAAAATGTATAGATTTTATTAAAAAATATTTTGAAAAGCCTATTTTTACTGCATACAGCGCCTTAACACGGATTATAAATAATCTTTATCAATGGACTATCCACGAGGTACTTACCATTTTTTTTTTCTATACTTACCTTGTTGAAGAGTAAGAGTCTTTGCATATTATGAGGTAGTTAATAGAATTTATTGTTGTCTAATAGTACGATTAATTTATTAACATAACCCATATATGCCATTTTACTATGTTGTGACGCTATCAAAGACGGTAAAACATGGAATGTATTTAGTTCTTACTGAGCATATATTAAAAAAAATCGAAGGATGAAACTAATATAGAAGAATTGATAAACTTGGAAGAGGAATAAATTAATGCCTGTTAAAGTAATAAATCATAAAGTGTATTTTTTGTACTTTTCATTTTTTTGTACTTTCTTTTTCGTCATATCTAAATGTCCCTATGTCCTATGCTGTCAGCTGTCGTCTGTCCGTCAAAAGCATTCAGTGATTCAGTGGTATGTCTTATCTATGGTCAAAAGCGTATTGTAAAAAACAAAGTTCCAACTGTATTAAAATTGTAATCAAGACAAATACCTAAGATTTACGAAAATGGACATCAGCAAGTATTCAATTCCAAAGTTGCCTGCACCTCAATTTGTTTTAGATGATTTAGCTGATCCTAATATTAAAAGTGATCATGTATTGAAAATAACAGACGGAGATATTACGGTACAGGATTCACATACATGTTACACGTATTTCAAAGAACTACAAGAAGATTTATTGGAGCACAGGAAATTGAACTCAAAACTTGCGGATCTAAATAAAAAGCTTTTGGAAAAAATCGAAAGCATGAAAATAAATTAGGAAAGAAACATAAATATAAATATAGTAGCCATTATAGTTTAAGGATGTAAGACATTAATACACATTATAATTAATTATTTTATTATGCTACCAAAGTTTAACAAATCGCCTTCAGTAATAATACCTAACTGGTATAGACAAACTAAAGCTGCTCCTTGTTCGGCAAACTTCTTATTTTTTTCCCAAAATGATGATGTATACTTTTTTCCATTAAATAATAATATTGTGCGAAATAACTTTTCAATCTGTTGCGTATCATAAGCTGGTAGTTTGTAACCATTTTTATGAGCCCATGTATGCAGTTGTGATTTTGGCAAATTATTATCATTAAAATTACCACGAATAAAACATACCTAAAACAAATTTATTATTATTCATATGCCATTTAATATTAAAATAATGTTCTCATGGCTTTTTTGTTTAGGCCTAAATGCATTTTCTCCATTAGGTCCAATATCTAAAAATTAAATTCACAATATTTTGTTTTCTTGAAGTTTTATTCTACTTGATGCTTCATATTAATACACTTGCCTTCATTTGGATAACATCTTTCATACAGAGTCCATCAGCCTTCTGCTTTTTTATTGGGGGTTCCAAATCATCAGGAGTAACTTGCCACCTTCCTTTAATGCCCATTTTTTGATATTGTGATTGCTTTTCTACACAATAGTCACCTAAATCCCATATGGCACTATAAAATTTAAACCAAAATTTTAATCATTACTTTTTTACGAGTTAAATGATGTTTATATTGTTCTAATTAACTGATGAAATCCAAACAAAATACCATATTTGATCCAGCGTCTGGCATTCCAAAAACTTTCTACCTCTTGGTGTTTCTTGTAACTCTCTTAATATATTTTGTATGCAATACTTTGTATTTGAGGGTGAATTGTCATAATCAACTGCAATTTTAAGATATTCTTTAATAACAGTGTCCATTGACAACAGGCCTTCTTTTCTAAATATAGAACAATTCCATTCAGCTGCCCGTGCAAGCATGACACTTGTGCAACCTGTCATTTCTTTAAATTTTAAAATATCATTGTATTTTTCTATTTCTTTGGAACCTCCACTGAAAATTAATTATTGTTGTAATAGATTTATTTATATACCTATACATCCATATTTATTATAAATTAATAAAAATAGGTGAGCTTTATTTAGTAACAAAAAATGTCCAAAAATATTATGTTTAGTCAAGAGACTGCATAGTTGTATTTATAAAGATACAATAAGGTTCTTAGACACCATTTCTTTTTTAAAATACATGGACTACACACACATACTACACTACACATACACAAAATAATTATATTAATAAAAGTAAAGATCAATTTTAATCAATTTTGATCAAATAAATAATGTTATTTCAATTTTTTTTTAATTAATCTATAAGTGGATCTAGCTAAAAGAATGGTTGCTGTAGGTGAAAATGACATTGCTAAATTAAAATTAATGCTTGTTATAACTTTGCCTAAGAAATATTAAATATTTAATTTTTTTGATTAAAACCTATAAATTAATCTTCCAAGTATAAGTATCATAAAAATTAAAATTTGATGTATCAACAAGGGTTAAAGAAGCTACGTTGGTAGGGCCACGCAGCAGCCTCGGCTGTTGCAAGAATGGGCAGACCCATCCGGGTAAGTACCACAACCTCACAGAAGACCAGCGTAAAGTAGAAGTATGACAAATACTTTCTCGTTTCGTCTGGTGAGTGAGGTAAACATAGCCCAATTTTCAAAAGGTTGTCAACGCATCTGTAACCCTCGGATGTGGCAGATGTCCATGGGCGGCGGTATTCACTTAACATCAAGTGAACCGTCCGCTCGTTTGACAACTTTTCGCATAAAAAAAGGTTAGTCCTGTTGATATTGTTTACTTACTTTGCTATAACCGGTATTGGAATCCGCTCGGCAACATACCGTATAATATCAGTATGTACAGCATGTTGTGGACGTTCATTCTTAGTTCTACCATGAATAGCAATTGCTTTAATTCCAGTACTAACTAGCTTTTTAACAACATTTAATGTTTCATCACCTGTCTCAAATATTCTTATTTTACAAGTTACTGGAATAGAGAGGTTTACTACTAATGTGTGCAATATTTTATAAGCTTTATCTGTTTGTTCTAGAAGAGCAACACCCATTCCTCCTTTAACAGAAAATTCTTTTGGGCATCCCATATTAATATCAATACCAGCAACATCATTTTCCCTGTAATGATATATTATATAAAGTTTATAAATCAGAAATTTTGTGGCTGAACAAAGTCATGTTTTTGGCCACCAGTAGGCCTCTGTTTCGGAAATAGATTTCTTTCAAAGTATTCATATTACCAAATGACAATAATACTTGACACTTAAGATTATTGGATTTATTATGATGAAAAATATTGTATATCTCATAAATGTGGTAGTAAATCTCTCATTATTGAACATAATGAGAGATTTACTACCAGACCAATTCAAAACTTACTAACCTAATTAAATGTCAACTTCTTCAGACAATTTCACACTTTAAAATGGCAAGATATATGTGATGATGTTGCGACATTTTGTTTTGTTATACTATGAAAACCACAACTGATTGTGGAATAATACTTATATTGTAAGGTAAAATTTTAGCAGGCTATTATCTTCAATATAGCAAACCAAAAACAAAATTAAACAATAGAGAACTATAAAATAAAATCACAAAAATCTGACACAGAACACCCCAACTCCATGTGGTCATGTGGTCTTTATCCCTAGAGTGAACATAAAAAGGTGGAGCCAGAACCTCGAGTCAATGATGGGGAACAAATAGTGGCATATAAGCCACATAATCACTATATAACTGAAATAACTTACACCATTTTAGCCACTGTCAATGCTCTTACAGCGTCAGATGTACCAAGTTGTAATACAACTCGTTCTTTCTCTTCTATACAAGTACGAAATACTATTGTACCATCAGTTTGATCTACATAGTCAATTGTATTAAGTATTCCTGCAATTCATAAATTAATAACCTATGTGTATACCAACTGTAATAACCTCTGATAAAATATAGCTGGGATCTCGGAGTAATTTTATGATGTTTTATAACTTTCATTTAGTTAGTAATACTTATGCCTTTAGGATAAATTTTAATACCATTCAGTCTTCGCTTTGATCGCAATAGCTTCCAATCAATTAGTTCTTCTGTGTATACGATATCTGCACCGTAACGTAAAGCTAAAAGCCTCATCGGTAATGTCCCAATGCGTACCATTGGGGCTAGAATAATTCTATTTTCGTATGACAACATAGTTAATGGTTAATTTACGGAAATATTGGACATTTATTGACAAGCAACTTCATCAGGCAACTTTGAAAGATAAGATAAAACACATGGCACGTTATTGATAATTATCTACATTAAAAGTAGTACAGTAGATATGAATGAGTATAAAGATACAAACGAGTCAAAGGACATACGACGCAAAGAGAATGTAATCACTACGTTTATGCGACGGACTAGTATATTATAAAGTATATTATGTTAAAGTTTCAGTAATCAGTATATTATAAAGTACTCTGTGCGACGGACCGACGGCCGGACGTCAAGGTCAATGTCATTTGTCATAGGCAATGTCATAGCATCGATGATTTTTTTAATAAAGATTTTATGGCTTGGTAACAACACCTTTCAAGCCAAGTCTTATTTTCGAACACTAATTTTCACATTTTTGTATTATTACTTTTATGTATATTTTCAGTTGTTCACCGTATTTATTTAGGTATTTAAAGAATTTAGTTGATTTCGGTATTTAAAGAATCAAAATAATTTTTAAAGTATTTATATAATACTCTATTACACTTTTTGTTTTTGAACTAATCACACAAGTGGCAGCGGGAGGTTTATCTAACTTCTATTATTTCACTTGCCAATAATAATTTATAAAAATGAAAGTTTGGTTCGGAAATTTGAAGAAAAAATGGTTCATGGCAGCGATCCCATCATTACAGAAAGTGCTCTTGAATGGTAGATATGGCTAATGGGATCACTTTCAAACCAAAAAAAACACTTAAGGTCTGATTAGTAAACTATTTATTTCAACTTTAACATTTTCAACTTATTTTTGATGGAACGTACCTAATCATTACGGAATTTATATAAAATACAGGAGTTATGTCAGATAGCTAGACATGTTACTTCTTTAAGCGATTTTTACGGAAAAAATCAAATATGACAATTCAGTCTGAACAAATAAAACTAACATTCCAAATTCAAAGTAAATCAAACATAATACATAAATCAAACAGGTCACAGTTGACATCAAAGTAGTATGTATAATCTGAGATCACCAATCAACACACCCCCTTAATCTCTGATTTTTCAGCCCAATTTTCAAAAGGTTGTCAACGCGTCTGTAACCCTCGGGTGTAGCAGATGTCCATGGGCGGCGGTATTCACTTAACATCAGGTGAACCGTCTGCTCGTTTGGCAACTTTTCACATAAAATAAAAAAGATATACATCATAACACCAGACAAGTACATAAAACGCAAAAAATTTAGAAATTATCAACAAACAACCCACTAATCATAAAAAAAACAATAACACACTCTCTCAACAAAAACCAAAACTCTTAATCATAATTAAAACCACAAAAATAAAGGAAAAACACAATACATTATAGGAAGATATCAAAACTTCTACAAAAGGTTTTTCTGAAAAATTCCGTTTTGAATTCCGATCCTTTCCCTCTTACAAAAATCTCACACACACACTGCCACTGCGCGAATCTCTATTATTAGCACCCCCTTACATTAGCACTAACTACACAAAGGTTTAGAATTAAAATAACTAAAAATATGAATAATGTCTATCAAGACAATAACACCAATGTTCCACATCAAAGGAGCTTGTTTTAGACCGTAAAAACTCCTCTTCAACCCACAAATCCCATTTAATCGGAGCTTGATATTCAAACAACTTCTTACCGTTTTTATTTATGTTTTTGATCCTCTTTCCAGAAGTTTAGCCAAATAGTTTTTTAATGAGATATTTACATCGGAATAATAATCGGTCATAGGAACATGCTCCACATTTTCGACGTCAATAGCATTGACCCCTTCTTGTGAAGTTTTGTTTGCTATTTCATTGCCAAGCATACCTTTGTGCGGCAACCCACATGGCAATTGTTATCCCTTTTTTATGTAATCGATGTAACGTTTTTAATTAAATAAATAATGAAATTAGTTTTAATATTAAGACTTGTATGTCTTAGACTATTTATAAGACTCGAAGAGTCTGTTAAAATTAGAAAATATTTACAATTGATTTATTATGTAATTAATGTAAGTATATCAATTATTGTGTAAATACGACTAACTGATTTTAAAGCTTCAAAAACTGTTTCCATCGATCTGTTAGCATCGATGAAGATTATATATAGTACGGATGCCGAAAAATTAGCGATAAATCGATATTTTTTACCGAATTCAAAAAAGGAGAAGGTTTCTCAATTCGACCGTATATATTTAATCCACGAAATCAAATCTTTCTGGCGAGATGTAATGTTAAAATAATTTTAGCATCATGTAATCTACCTTTAACAGGCCATTATTCTGTGTCTGGAAATTTCATGTCCATTTTATGTTCATTATATTAAGGTTCTATTTAAAAAGAACTTCTTTTAAAGCGAAAGGTGAAGTAAATTATTTTAGCCCCACGATTCGATATGAAAATGTTGATTTGGCTTTGTTTAGGACAGTTAGAGAAAAAATGTTTTATAAATTAAAAAAAGCTGATATTCTGGCTATTTTTTCGAGTACAGTACAGACCTTTCGAAGATGTATCGTATTAGGAATATGCAAAGACATTGCTAAATCAACAGAATTTAGTATAGGGGCCTATTCACTATCCTGCCCGGCAGTCCGCCGTGCAGTCCGCCACTTTGTGCAGGATTGTGAATGGTGTCGCAGGCCTGCAAAGTTTCTGGCAACACCGAGAAGGACGCGCCTTGCATCCTGCAAGCTCCGCCCACTGCTTGCAGTCCGCCGCGCAGGAGCGTCAGTAAATCCGTAGTGGACTGGTATCGTCTTGAGGTCAAACTCAAGGCCTTGGACCCCCAGGACTTAGTCGACCTACCCGAGGCGATAGCTACGTTCGATGACGCGAATCGAGCGATAGCAAGTCTCCGAGAAACCATCACTTCCACAGTCGCAGACTCGGAACGGACGGTTAAACTGTCGGGCGACCGACGGTTTAACTTTCCGCCCGACCTGCGACTGCTAATTAGGCAGAAAAATGCAGCCAAACGCGCTTTCGACCGATACCGATCGGAATCGAACCGAACCCTACTTCGACGTCTTCAGCTAGAAGTCAAAGATCGTGTATCGGAACACAGACATACAACGTGGGACACTCTCCTAAAGGACATCGAGCCATCGCACACCGCTTACTGGCGGTTGGCCCGCAGTCTGAAAGCAGACCCCCGCGAATCTCTACCGCCGTTAATTAAACCTATCGCACCTTTAGAATTATAGTGACCTATTTAAAAAATATCAATTTTTGGGAAACGTTAAATAAAGATTTGTGCATTTATGCTTTTTGTAAAAAAATAAGGTTATTACAATTAAATTTTATAAAAATCATAAAAATATAATTTTATTTGATTGTTAACTTATTTATCTACATGCCTGATAAGAAAATAAAGTAAAAAATGTCAACGAAGTATTTTTTTGAATTATTTAAAAAAAAAGTTGTCGAAATTAGGTCTATATAATTTTAAAGCCTCAGATTTTTAAAAAGACTCTCTGTTATATGGGTCTCTCTATTTCTGAATATTCGGTGAAAATCGTGGGTTTTTCATTAGTAAGTCCCTCTATTAATAAATTCGAGATTAATTTCAGGGGTTTTTTTAATACGTAAACCATAAAAGATGGTAAATAAGGTTTATTAGAAAGTAAACTTACTAAATAATTATTCCTACTTAGTAATCTTTAATTAATTCTACATCACAGGTTGTAAAGGAAACTAAAACGATATAATGGTAGCTTCTAGTCTCTATAATTGCTTACAATAAAATCATGTTCTTAGCTGTACTATTATAGTTCTTAGCTGTAGTTATAAGCATTAAAGTATTGCTCATATTATTCATAACAATATTGATCATAACAGTCTTATCAAATTGTAATTAGTATCTGTGAATAATATTTAAATTGGTCATACAAAACTTAACAATATGTATCTCCTAAAAAGAAACTTCAAAAAAATTATTACGTACGTAAGTAATTAAAGAATCAAATTATAAAAACCTACGTAATAACTAGGAATTAAGTTTTTATTTAAGTTCATGTAAATCAGTTTTCTTATGATCACTTAATTCTAGTGTTTGTAAATACACATTGGTTATCATTATGTCCTCTATTCTTTCTATTTTCTTCCGTTTGTTTCTCATATTAACCATATTATTTTTTTTTGAGTTTATGAAATTTTGTAGAAAAATATGAATGAAATTTTGAAAAGCGGAACGCTTTACAAAATTTTTGGATTCTGATATTGTTCCATGAGATATTGTGTTTGTTTTCACTTTCATTGAAATTATACCCGAATTTATGTTGTAAAATCTTTAAATTTATAAAAAATCGTATGTCAGCTCTTTCACATTAAAAGGTTTACCATTCTTGCGAGAGGTCTTAATTAAGGGGACATACTGGTATGGTGTGTATATAGGTCCAGACATTTTATTTCTTTTAATCTTCTTTTCAATTAGAATATGAACATTATCTTCTTTTTGGGTATAGCCCTTTATTAAAAATTTAATAATGTGAATAGTTTTGGATTAAGTTACAGCATAAGAATATAATGAAGTAATGTTTTTATTTTGTCTACAACAATTATCGGAATAAAAATTGATGTGTAGAGTTTTTTTAGAATTCTGCTCATTTAAACGTAATAAATAATCTAAAACGTATGACCCAATTTCGTTAGCACCACTTTTTCCCTGAACCTCATCTCAGAAACAGCTATTAGTATTATCGTATGCCTCTATCTCATTCACACTCTCTTCATTGTTCTTTTTACGCTTTTTTAAATCTTCTAATTTCTTCATTATTCTCACAATGGTAAAAGTAAAACAATTAAGTTTTACTTTTACCATTGTGGGAATAATAAATAGTTTAATATAACTCCTTAAATATACTATAGATATATATTTTTTTTATGTGAAAGGTTGTCAAGCGAGCAGACGGTTCACCTGATGTTAAGTGAATACCGCCACCC